AGTACTAAAACTGCCCGACCATAGCCGACACGATTTAGCGTAAGTGTCAGGTCAGCTAGCCACAAATTCAGAAGAGTGATTGGTGACAAAACACATTTTGTGTGGAACTGATGAAATGCGATAAAACAATTTATGGTAAAATCAATTATTCCCATTTTTTGAGTGCAGCACTAATTTCCTTGACTTCGAGAACCTTTATCAAAAAAAGGTCAACAGACAGTTGAAAATTTAAGTATGATACTGGTTTTGACTAATTTCAAAATCCAGAGGTTTTCGTTATCATGTCCATCTTATCAATTTGTTTGATATATATATATATATCGATATTCAAATTATTTATTTTCTCTGCTGATAATCGATCTGCTGCCATACCGTCGAGCTCAGAAATGAAAATAGTGTCCCCTAGATTAGCGTAATATTGGAATAAGAGCTGGTTGCAAGTAATCATTTCGATTTCTCAGATACAAAGCCAAGTGCTTTCCAAGAATAATGTGCCAAAGGATTTTTTATATCAAAAACAAATATCTCAGTTTCCTTTCGATGCTATAACTGCAAGAGTTCCTTGCTATTTTATACTATCCCTCGTCCCACATATCTGTCAGCTCGAGATATGAGATAGAAATGTTTCTCGTAGATTGCGATATATCTAAAAGATACGAAGCTAACATTAGCCATCACGCCAGTTCTTACGTCAAATCTTTGAGCGCGTGGATGTGTCTGTGGTTTTGAAATGATGACTCTTCTCAGTCCACTCATTCACAAGCATTGACCATTCTCTTGTGGCTGCCATTTGGAACCGGTACACACCCCCGTTAACAAGCGACACGCTTCACCTTCGGCTGCGAATTAGCATATGAAAAGAAAATGAGACATTGCGCCTCTTGTCCATTGCTGCAATTCTCACATCATCTCCTAGTCAAGGGACGGGACGAAAGCGCCAATGTGGTGCAGAATTTATGAGGCAAATACAAAAGCGTTGCATTATTCCTGAAACTGCCAAACATGTTGAAACAAGAATGCCACAAGCGTAGGTGCAATTGCACACATAGAAATCACACCAGAAGTTGACTGGTAAAACATGTGACCATCTTTTTTTCAAGGTTCTTCGTCTTGCTAATTTCTCGAATATACTGTCGTGGCTACACTCCACAGCAAAAAACGAGATGTTCGGATAAGTCCGTTGCTGTTCATTTTAATTGTAGATAGATACAAGACAAGCAAAAGCGTATGACAAATTCATCAGCGATCTCTTAAATCCTCCGTTCTACCCCATTTTTCAAGCCAAAATGATCTCATATATCCACACAGATAAAAATGGCTTTTCCTGAGAAAAGAACCATTTACTCAACTGTTTCAAAATGAAACTTTTCTTTTCTAAATACAGTGACGACAACGTGGCCCACATGGTGGATCGTGGCTTAAATTTTGTTGAAATGACCGCTACTTTGGAGCACATTTGTTTCAAAAGTTCTCTTACGCTCTAACTCTGGAAATCGCTCTTTCCGTTCTCGCCTGCTTCACAGAATAACTGTAGGTATACTGTAGTTGACGATGTGCATGGTTTTAGCTAAAAGTCTACTCCGTGGGAGGCATTGTCCAGGAGGCAGACTACAACGCACTTTGTCGTCAACGTGTTAACTATAAAATTTGAATTCTTGGGAATGTTGTTATCGTTGTGACTTAATGAATGCGTAAGCCGTGATATTCTATGATACATGAAAGCAATGAGACGAAACCAGAAAAACCAGACTTCACCAATCAAGCGGCAGCGATTTTTATTACCGTTAAAGTCGGTTTGAGATTTGGAAACAATGGCGCAGATAGCAATCCCAATTTTACGAACAAAGATCGGTCATACATTGGCTGAATGCTTTTGATGTCCGGCAAATACCAGTTCGACGCGTCTAAATCAGTAAAACTATCTCCTCATATAGAAGAATTCAATTCTACGGACTTAGCTTATCAATCATGGCTGGGTGATTATTACCTCAGTCATCTAAAAAACTGCTCGCGTTTTTTTTTGCACATAAGCGCAATGTGAAGGCGGTTCTTCTCTCCAGTATTATACGCATGCTTATCCAAATACACAAACTACACCATTGCTAAAGTCTCTAATGCAAATTGGAGGTACTAGGAAGAAGGAAGATACCCATACTCATTACTTACTGTATACCCTCGCTAACGTCCAACCTCCATTACTTCCTATCCCCTATCTACCTATCTCAAATGAAGAGTTTCCGAAATTCTGTGTGTGGTGTAATATCCCGCCGTCTGACTTCGAGGCTAGATCCTATCTGCGAGAATATATTATATCGAGTTTCGATATTCGAGGTGTAACCGATGAGGTTTGGGTGCAAAAAGAAACAACGCTTGCGTTTGATTGCAATCATCTATGTAAACGATGTTGAGATGAGCTATAAGATAGCAACGAGATAGCTTCGATGCCAACGTAAAGTCTCATAACTTAAAGCGCTGAAGACGTTCTTGTAAGAAACAATGCTATTTGCGCTTAATAGAATGTTTTAGGCAATCGCTGAAGCAACGAAGTTCCAAATCCTCAGTAGAAATTTCAAATATTTTTACAACTTTTTCCGCAGATCAAATTGTAATTGATGCTTGTAAAGCGGTAGCATTGAAATGGATGATGGGAGTGACGTTCAAGTTAATCCTAGAAGTTTTGAGCGAGGGAAAAATGCAAGTCAAAACGGAAATAAAATCCTCGTTTTATTGAGTTTTGATCCTATACCTCACTTAATCTTCTCTTCAAAGCTTTTTGTAAATATGTTGTTAGATAATAGTCCAAACGGCCAAATAAATGAGTAGCAGTAAAGGACCGAGAAGGATAGGTGGGGGGGGAGGCTCGAGAATGAACAAAAAAAATCTTGGATGGGTTACAAGAGTGAGCTCTAAATATGTGCACATGACTATCAGAAAAAATCATCTACAACTCAAATTCGCTCGGTCAGAAGAAGTTTTGGGGCCCGGCTGCCTATTTCTAGAAAGGTTATAGGCCGCGAAAATTCTGAAAAGTATTTCAAACTTTTTCTGCAGTTTCATTAGGGGGATATTTGTCGTTCTTCAACTTAGAAGTACTTCTTCAATCGTCCTACACGTCATTGAGAAAGTAACTCTATAGGAATTTTTTATGACTATGTCCGCTAAAAAGTTCGGTTATTATGCACTCTCCAACAGTGTCATAGCGATCCTTTGAACTTTATAAGTTTGTTAAAGCGTGATAAACTACACGACAGGCTTAAAGAAGCTGCCGTAAACACGTGACTGGTATGAACATCAAAAATCGCCACAAATGCCAGAAAACCTCCAAAGATTGTCGCCGACCGTCAATAAATCGTCACCGCAACTTCGCCACATCTATCCGCCGATTTTGAGTGACCAAGCGTCAGCAATCTTTGATGAAGGGAATTTTGTTGCTTTTTGTTCCGAATGTTTTGCTATGTTACTGTTTATTTTGTTGATAAATGTTTAATTTATTAATGTTTGTTTTATTGTTATTATTGCTTGTTGCGAATCCTGGAAGCATGTCGATAAACAAGCTTACAGCATTCGCCATTTGTGATTTAAAGTTCACGGTCGAGTGAACCTGTGATTGGTGGAAAGTTACGAAAGCTTGAATATGGTACTCAGCCTTCATCTCTTGCCACCAATTCTGGCGTATGAATTCCGAACGTTTTTGCTTCAGAAGCAGCTTGGCCTCTGGAGCAAAATCGCTCCATTTCTCAATCAATTCATCAAAGACCAAGAAGCGAGTTATTTCTTCGCTTCTTGATTTTGAGTGACAAGTCAGATAATAGCTTGGATATTCATCTTTATGAAGCTGCAAATGGCTGCCACGCGTCCTGACACTCCTCGACTTCTTTGGTACAAACAGCGCCGAATAAAGCATATAAAATTGAACTTCTATTCTGTCCAATACGTCGAAGCTTAATCGGAGCCTAACATCGCAATCGGATTTAATCAGCTCCACCATTCCTGTCAGCTTCTGGAAGATTTTCGACTTACCTGTTCTTTTTTCTGCGCTTTTCAGTACCGAAAAAATGCGCTCAAATTGGCGCGTGAACAGATAGCTATGCTCCTCAAAACAGTGGCTCGGCAAAATGGATCCTTGTTAGATTTTGGTAGTGTCAGGTAGTAGATCTCCCATGTATACCGTAGCCCTAACCTCACTCTCCAAGTCATACGCTAAAGCCTGCAAAGGAGCTTCAAAACTCCATCAGCCCCGCCCACTTCCATGAGTGAGCGTTACTGGAGTTTTGAAGGACTTTTTTGCGCTTTTTCGGGAACTAGCATATGAATTGGAAAGTGGAATTGGGGTTCCGGTGTGCTTAGGGCAGGGTCTACAATCTACCCGAGCATTGCTTTTGACGCCGGCCAACTGCGAGCAACTTGCTCGCATTACTGGCGTGACTATTTGTTTACGCGCAAATTTTAGCATTTTGTCGACACCGCAAGCACACTATATTAAGCGAAATCACAGTCGAGTAGATTTAGCGGTAAATATAGTGTGCTTGCACAGAAGGTGAAATGCGGTGAAATTTGCGCGTGAACAAGTAGCCACGTCAGTACCGCGGGTATCTTGCGCGCGCAATTGGCCGGCGTCACAGTCGAAACTATTTCTTCACGCGCCAATTTCACCGCATTTCACCTTTTGTGCAAGCACACTATATTTACCGCTAAATTTACTCGACTGTACTTTACTGCAGTGGCGTACCGAGGGTGGGGAGGGGGAGGCGCCCCCCCCCCTCCGCCCCAAGAACGCTCGAATTTTTTGAAAGTTACTTACATGGGCTACAAAATTATGCAAATGACTATTCTGCACTTTAAACAATTAAAATAATTTTTAAAATTTAAAAATTTCATTCTAGCCTTTCGCGACCCCCCCCCCCCTCGAGAAATCCTGGGTACGCCACTGCTTTACTGTAGTTGGACTTTCTACTGACACTTCCTCTCGCGTTGAGGAGTTACATTTCGAAAAAGAATACCTTAATCCGAACTGGAATCTCATCACTCATTTTCGTGTTGCTTTGGAATCTCGAGGATGCCTATCCGAACGCTGTCTTTAGAAGAGGGTTACCCACGCCTCTCCAGCTTTCTGACTTTCTAGAAAGAAACTTAGGTCACTTCCACTGTTTTTTGAACGGTGAGAACAGCACACCTAGGAGGTCCAGACATGAGAGGAATTTTGGTTCCAAGAACTTCTTGGACTGTGCTCTCAATGATTATGGAAACAAATGCTATTTGAAGAATGCGATGAATATGGGGAAGATTCTGAAATAGGCACAAGGGATCTTTTGAAGCAGATGATAAATGACTAACAACGTTTGTAAGCGATCTTTCCAGAGTAAGATATGACTCGATACTGCAGAAGACTGAACAAGGAAGATGAGGCCTATACCTCTTTATTTCAGAATGAAATATGACTTCGATGCTGCAGAAGTGTGAACAAAGAATATGAAGGCCTTTAGTCTTCGCACAAGCCAGGTTTATAATGCCCGAGAAGGCAAATCTATCATAGGATTCTGAATATTACTCGAAAATCGATGTATTTTTGATCTCAAGATAGAAGAAATACACCACGTCAGAAAGAGGATCGTACTTTGAAATCTCAGTTTGTGAACATTCGTTTTCGTCAGAAAATAAGAAACGAAAACTGAGCCTTTCGAGGTAATTATGGAGGAAAGTATTGATTGATAGTGTATAGTTGCTGCCGAAAATTGATTCTAACCAATTTTCCATGTTAAGAAGATTCCGAGAGGACTTCTGAGAAAAACTAAGTGATAAAGAGAAACAGGATGAAACAAGAGGATGTGCACTCACGAGTGAAAATCGATAATGGGAAGCTCAATGCTTCTGCGCTTCCGATATTGACCTTAGCAGGTCAAAACGTGTTTGATCTGTCAACCACAATTCGACGTGTTGTTTGTTCATTTTTCTGCTTTTTTCCCACGGATCCGGAATTTTTTCTAAAAAGCTACCCGAACTAAATACTGCGCAAACAGTAAGCGATTTCGAAATGAAGGACACTTATACTTCAAACATTCAAATTCAAAAAACTGATATTTTATTGTGACAAATTGCACGCAGATTTCAGAACTATTGTGAATATAAGGAAAATAGTCAGGCCACTATGCTGTTTTGACTGTCTCTTCAACTCATAACCGTTTGCCGCGCCGCTGCATTGTCCGCAGCCGCTTGCTATCGCTGCTCAGCAATCGGAAAACCTCTGAAGTGCAGAGATGTGTAATTAAATGACCGCAATAGGTCCCAATCAATTTGCTACTTTCGTTTTTTTTGGTCAGCAAAATTTTCTACAGTCTATTTCAACCCGCAATAGGCAAAACATCCCAAGTGGAGCTACGCGTCCGCACCGCCACTGGCTCAGCGAGATAGATTAAAATGAAGAGACGCAGACTGCAAAGCGGCGCGAATCGTTGCGAAGCGAACTCTCGCCAATCCAGTTTCCGCCTTAACGTTGAAACCTACTGTACTATCGCGTACAATCAAGTGTACTCCATCAGTTACTATAGGGCCAGTGGCGGACCGAGGGGGGGGGGGCGCGCGCCCCCCCCCCCCCCCGAGAATGGGTCGCGAAATTTTTAAAACTTACCTATATGGGTTGTAAAAATGTGCAAACGACTTGTTTGCACTTGAAAATAATTAAAATAATTTTTAAAATTTTTTAAAAATTCATTTTAGCCTTATAAAAATTTTTTTTTCGGGGGCGTGGCTGACGCCACGCACCTTCTTTAGAAAAAAATTTTTGTCGAGCCCCCCCCCCCCGAAAAAAATTTCTCGGACCGCCACTGTATAGGGCATATTTGTTAAACATATAGTGTCTATTTGATCTATGCGAATAGTATAGGTTTGCAAAGTTCTTCGATATGACTTTCTTTCAAGCGACTGTGAATCTAGTAAATGATAATGGTTGTAGATAACCAATGATATCAACACATAAGGATGAGAACAGATCCTTCCAGTTTACGGCAATATTTTAATGCGTAGAACGCTCTTCAAAAAACGCACTTTCATTTGTTTTTTTTTGTTCCATTTCTGATCCAACGTCCTCTATCTCTCACTGCTTCTATCACACTATCTGACAGTGACCGTATGAGAGCTGGATTTTGATGTTGCGCAATTTCGCGACAAAGGAGAATTGGAACAGAAGGCGCTCATGATGCAAGGAACCGCAGATTGCTCAATTTCAGGTTTTTTGGTCATTGTAAAACATCAAATCAATGCTAGTCATTGATTATGGGATTACGGGGTTTAATTATGAAGCCTAGTACCTAAAAGTCAAATTTTTTACGTTTGTGACAGAATATACCCCTTGATTCAACTCGCTTGGCGGCTGGAAGGCGGGATTTCCTGGCCTGATTAAGGCTAGATAGTGATCAAAGAGCACACGCATGAGAGAGACGCAGACTGCGTAGCGGGCGCGAGCAACCTCAATTAGGTCACAAAGCCCCGCCTTCCAGCCGCCAAGCCAGCTGAATCAAAGTTTATCAGAAGGTTTAAACAGGAAGGACCCGAGGTCACCGCGGCCTTTCCATATGAGATGTATATGGAAATACTCGTCACAGAACGCTGATCTCAAAATTGTGTTCGCTTTCTGCAAAACTCTTTTGTAGATCAAGCTATGAATGTTCTTGTAGTACTGCTGTGCCAAACAGGTTTTTCAGGTGTTTTTTATTCCAATCAAGGCCTAATGTTTCGACTCCTTTTTTCGTCTTCCTCAAAGGCCTGAAAATGGCTCAAAGCGTCATCTGTGAAAAAATGAGGCCACCAACCACTATCTTTATTTCTGCTACTCTCGGTCTTCGCTCAACATCCTACCGCAAAAATTTTCAGCGCTAGAAAATGAACATAAAATGAGAACAGCGCTGCGCCACTTTCCGTACCGGAAATGATGGTCTTGGCGAATGGATTAAGCTTTACCATAGTGCACATAGCATGTGAACTACAGATTGCATAACGATATGAATGGATGGAAGTCGTTAGTGACTGATAAGCACTCTTTTTTATTGTTCACTGCTGGATTCTTTGCAGAAATCTAAGCCGAGGTTTCCTTCTTATGGGTCAAGATTTCGCGTTTTATATCGAAATTGTCTCCATCATGCACTCCGTTCCTATGACTGCCCAACGGTGATAACAAGACTTTACGCCTTTTATCTGCCAGATGTTCGCTCATGCGAGTACTAACCGATCTTCCACTTTCAGTAACATAGAGAGCTTGCAGCTAAGGCATTTCAATTGATAAACAGTTCAAAACCACTTTCCTTGAACCTCGGCATCGCTTATGTTCTTGTAGCACTAACAGTTACGAACGTTTTTCGATTCAAAACTGCACTGTTGTAGAGTCAACATGGGCTCTACGGATTCTCTTTCTTTCCCGTCTATTGATTACAACTTACACAGAATTTTAACAAGCTACGAAATGATATTCCACAACTCTTTTTTCCCTATTCCATGTTTCTGACCATTTTTACTCAAAGGAAGTTATAAAATCACTTTGCAGCCGTGCACATTAGCGCATGCCGTCGAAAGCAGTGATCCGCAATGATTTCATACGCGATACATCACTCATACATGGAGATTTGCCCTTGAAAGATATGACCAAGCTTTGAGCGATCTCACTCCTTTGGGCAATGATGTGACCTTCATATCACCAATAATTGTGCAGAGAAAGTTTCTGTTTTCGCCGGATTATGTTTTACATGTTCTTTATTGAGGGGGAAGGAAGCTTTTGGGAAGATTTACAAAAACAAGCGAGACTGAATAAAGCAAAAAAGTGATTCAAAATTAGATTGCGTAGTTATTCCTTCTTGCGTTATAGTTTTTCTCAACCTTTTTGACGCTCTAGGCCTGCTCTAACACTATGTTTGCATCACTGTCTCAATTTACAGCAGTTTTCAAAAAAAATTTCTGCTTGAAATAATATTGGATTGTAAGATTTTTCAATAATTATTGCAAAGATATTTTGTTTTTGTTGTAAGAACGTCATTTGCGAAAAATTTTAGATAATAAAATATCCCTTTTTAAAACTTTATTTCGCTCTCTCAACCTTTTCCGTGAAAAGTGTATTCAACACACTCAACAACGAATAGAACAGCAGGACAATCACTTATGTGGATATTGTCACATTCAAAACTCTTTCCTCAATTTGAGTCCTTTGAGTAACTTACAAACAAAATGATTTTGTTCCCAAAACCACTCCTTCTAATTCTTGATTTGCCCGTAATCATGCTGTCCAGAAAATCAATAACTGTAAGCGAATAGACATTTATTACTGACAGCATAAGAGAGATTTTACATTTTCGACAACAAACTTATCCAATGGAAAGAAACAAACAATTCACCGTAACAACAATGTTAGCGAGTCCATTTCGGTGACCCGCAACGGAAGGATACTTTAATAATAACGAATTTTTGCAGCCTACCCTGTGCACTTGACAGAAAAGTTCCAGAAAAAAATATTGGGTCAAACGCACCTTCACCCTTCTCACAAAACGCTTCAACCACCTTCGCAAACAAATAAATAGAGAAGCGAGCCTCGTCTCTAGCATAACAGCTTATGGGACAGCGAATAACTCCAAAAACAAAACTTATAGTGGCGGATGCAGTGCAATTATTTTCAATCACTTTCCTCCGCACTGTCTCCAGCCTCCTCTTTGCCCTTTTTCGCTTTGTTTTTGGCATTTTCAGCCTTTTTAGCATCGCGACTAGCCTCCTCAGCGTCCATTTGTTGATCCAGACCTTTCGGTGCCACTAGGCCATCCTAAATCAAAGCATCACAGTGCTTGCGCTTTCACAAATAATATCTGACTCTGATACCGTGATGGAAAGAAAAGATAACCTTTGATTCAACTGGCTCGGCATCTGGAAGGCGGAGCTTTGTGACATAATTAAGGCCGCTTGCAACGCGATGCAGCCTGCGTCTCTCCCGCGCGCGTGCTCTCTAATCATTACTTCGCCTCAATTAGGTCACGAAGCCCCGCCTTCCAGCCGCCAACCAAGCTGAATCAAAAGATAAGAAGTAAGAAAATTTTACGCTATCGTTGGAAAAATCACATCTGATTGAAACTCACGTACTGATTGCGTGGTCAAAAAAAGGAGACAGTCAAGAGGTACTATTTCTTCGGAGGTCACCAATACAACAGCCCAATATAGAGCTACGTAAGTCTTCAAAATACCAAACAAAGTGCTCTAGCTTGCTAATTGTGAGGTTACCACCTGCTAAGTTTGACAGCTTTCGATGAAAAAGTGATCACAATATTCACAAAACTGCAATGAATTGCATTTTCGCGGGTTTCTGACCTTCAGCATTCATGTTTTGAATCTATTTCAATAAGGTTGCACAGCTCTAGCAACGATCTTGCATATTTTCTAAGAAATTCAACAGTTTTTATAACGTCATTAAACACTAAAAATGCGCTAACTGGTGTCCACTTGGCAAAAAAATTGCGCCTCTTGGCTTACATAAAAAAAGAAAATTCTATTGCCAGAATTCAATGCAAACTCACTTCGTCTTCATCTTCGCTCTCATCCTCATCCTCTTCGTCGGATCCTTCCTCTTCTTCGAGCTCAGCTAATTCTAACTTCTTCTTGATGTCATTATCATCAACATCAGTTACAACGCGTGCCTATACAAAGTGAGCTTAGAAAAATCCGCAGACGTTTTTCCAACAAAAGAAAAACAATACCTCCTCCTTGATGGAGAACTTCCCGCCATACTTCTCTATAGTTTCCTTTACCACATTGAGCGCATCATTGACTGCAGTCAATCCATGTTCCCGATCTAACGTTTGTGTAGTCACTACGAAGTGAGGAGCAGCTATCAAATTGATCTAAAGGCATCGTACATAAAGACCAACTGGAAGAACTGAGGGTAATGGGTAGCAAACCTTGATCGGCATAATATCAGTGGAGCAATTCTTCCCGGCTATCAAGGCTTCTTTGATCGCATCGATTCCGTCATAGGAAAAACATGCTACTTCGATATCTGCTCGAATCTGTAGAACACAAACAAAAGTTCGTTTTCGATCAGAAAAGACAGCCAAAATATTTACCTTCACAGCCTGTGGCGTTAGCTTTTTTCTAATGTCTTCCAGTAGTGCCTCCCTAATTTCAGGAGATATGTCACACTCATCAAGTACATGTGGATCACTAAAATCCATTCTTTACCGATAGAACATGAAAGAAAAACAAATGAAGATGCAAAAACAGAAAGAATTCGATACTGACGCTATGGCACGCTTGAACACATCATATGCGGCTGCCTTTTTCTTCTCTTTTCGGTCGAAATGCCATGCTGTCCGCATATACAAGTCCTGAAAATGGCACTGGATCTCGAACTTACAAGGGAAGGATACCAATTAGTTAGCAATTGAAGATGAGATGTACATTATTAGAGGCGCCTTTGAACGCTGATTCCAAATCTTCTTTTCTTTTTTGCGGAATAAGTTTCCGAAAGAAGTTATGAGCGTTTAAATGTCCAGATCTGCCAAGCATTGAGTGGCTTAAAATCAGCGAAAAGCTCTAAAACAACACTCATGCGATTTCCACAGGCATTGTTCCTTCCCTACAAACAATATACTTGATGAAAAAAGGATTTTCCACTTGCCGGTGTTTTTGTATGGCTTTTCGCCAATTTTAGGGCATTTAAACCTTGACAAATTTGGACATTTGAACGCCCACATCTTCTTCCGAAAACTTATTCCGCAAAAAAAAAGGAAAGCAGATTTGGAATCAGCGTTCAAAGGCGCGTCTACTGATGTACATCTCATCTTCAATCGCCGACTAATGTTAGTATCCTTACCTTGTTAGCATCTTTTTACGTATATATATAACTCAAATGATAACCGTATACGTATATATACGTATACGGTTATCATTTGAGCACAGAGTAAAAACTCGAGGATTTCAAAAATAAAAGCGATCAATGTCCCTCACCTCCAATTGCTCATCTTTGTCATAGCCCAATTGCTCGGCGACATGACGTAGAATACTGAAATAGAACGGATAGATTGAACAGGCTTCATATCCCAATTTTACGGGTATAGCGCGCTATCTTCTCCCTGCGCCAGCCCGAACACGCCAAAAGATTTCGCGATCAAAGGATCCCTCTGCCACGTGCTTACCTAAGGAGGCGCCGGGAGAGCGATCGTACCATGAGTCAAACACTGCAGTCAAGCGACTACGATAAAAAGTGCGCTTTGTATTCAGGTAGAGTAATTCATTCAACCTCTATCTACTTTTAGCCCGTTACTCAATTTATAACCGTCGCAAAAACCGAAACGGCCAACAATTTTGAATACACTTTAACAATTCACCTTGCTGTTGCAAACAGCAAGGTGATTTCGCTTAACCTTTGAAAAGTTGGAAGTATTACAGAAAAAAATTACCTATTGATAGCCTTCGCTTTCGCAAACCGCTCTTCACACAATATCAAATCTTTCGAATAGACACGTCTTTTCGATAGATCAATGTAACCTTCAATCAGCTGGAATTTGTAACGCATTCGAATTAACGGAGAGTCTTACCTTTGTCTTTGTCTACTCGAATAACCACTACACATTCGCTACGACCTACACGAATCAGCTTATTCACAGATCGGATACGGCGACGAGACAACTCAGAGAGCAAAATCATGCCTTCTAAAATACAACAACCTAATAACAATATGGCAGTAGTGAGAAGAAAGGTAATAACCAAAACGAACTAGGGAAAAAATGGGAATGGGAGGAAACTCACCCTTCCCATTATACTCGGACAAGCTCACGTACGCTCCCATATCTGCTATTTGTCGCACGTTTACTACCACTGTTTCTTCCACGTCCGGAAAATGATTTTCGTAGAACCGGCAGCGCATCGTAGCCATTTTGGCTAAAAAAAGACATTTTGACCAACAAAGATACAGTGCAGTTGCGAATGAAATTTTGCGTGCAGCCCTTGATTGACGAGATAGCTTCACTGCCCCTCCCCCCCCCCCTCTCCTCATCATTTCGTGGAGTAGACCGTAACGCATTTCGCGCAGAAAATGTTTCATGAAGCCCCGAACAATTTTGATGCACACAGAGGAGACTTCGAAATCACACAAGTAAAAAAGAAACACGATTCATCGACCTATACCTGAACAAGATGCAAGTAAATGGTCACGTCACCACCTAAAGCCAAACGTAGCCAGACTTATGGATAAAAATTTATTCTAGAAAAGTAAACCGAGGAGATGCTAACAATGAAGTGTAACCTAACTAAACCTAAAGTAATCTTTCATAACAAAACATACAAGTGAGATACGTAATTCGAACAACAACTTTCATACAAAGCAGTAGGAACATAACTTGGAAAGAGCATTCATCAACTCCAAAGAATTCTAGAAGCTAGAAAGTTGTGGTGTGCTTCGAAAAATTAATGCGGTAAGTTGAGCAACACTTGTTGATTGCCTGGAAGATACGTGACGTTCCTGGCCTTCGACATGCGGTCTGCAATTTCCTCTGCTGCTTCGATCTTTCGCAATTCTATCAATCCATCTCCAGCATCAGCAAATGCCTGAAAATTCATTATTTATCTGGAGCCACAAAAAGCAGGTGAAATTTCGCTGACCTTGCTGAGAAGTTTGGCAGCTTGAGCATCTCCTTCAGCTGTGGTAATGGCGGCTATTTTCATTTGCTCAGCTTTCTCTACAAGATATCGTGCCTTTTCAGCGTCTTGTTGAGCCACCTGCTTCATTTCAACGGCCTCCGTGAATTCGCGTCCGAAAGACAAATGGGTCTGAAGAAAAATTCATCGCTAGATCCTGAGAAAAACAAGGAAGTAAACTTACTGCGAAGCAAGATAAACAAGTTTACCGACTAGATGATTTCGTATTTCAAAAAAAAAAATACGAAAAGTATGAATAGTGGTAATCAGTGAGAATGTGGGACATGGCTGACCACTATTGGCCACCTATATGGGAAAAATTTTGGGTTTGACGCCTTCCTTCTTCATTGAATCTCAAAGGGTGTTGCCTGAGGGTCTATTGTCTTACAAGAGAAAAGTCGCAAATACTCCTTCCCCTCGTAAAATCTATACGGTTACAATTACCAAAGGCAATCACTCACGATCGAGATATCATCCAGAAGAAGTCCGAATTGTGCTGCTCGTTGAGCTAAAGCCAATGACACGCGTTGTGAAACTGTTTCTCTTTGTGTGATCATCTCGTGTGCATCGAATTGAGCCTAAAAGCCATCAGATTTGTGTTTTTCGTCACGTTTCTAGTGTGATGCAGGCCATTTATGATCGTGTTAATGGTACCTACACAGTAAACAAAAAGCACCAAGATGCGAAGAGAAAGGGTAAAAAACAAGGTAAAAAACTCATTCGAAAAGTCTAAGTCGTTGCTGCTAGGCATACTATGATTACTTCACGAGTACGTATGGCAAAACTCACCACGACAGCCTTCAATACTTCGTTCGTAATGGATGGCAAGACCCTGTCAGCATAATCTAGGCCAATATTCAAGTAAATATTTGGCAATTTTGTTGGATCTGGCCGGTGGAGAATACGAAGAGTTATCGAAACGTTCTGGAGATCTAAACAGATATCGCCGATCGTGAACTTGTCGAAAGAACGAAGTGCATAACAACCAACCTTTGCTTCCAGTTATAGTAGAGATAGCTCTCGGCGTAGACCGAATATCGAATATGATCGGTTTTTGTACCCATGGGATGATGAAATGAGTGCCTTCACCTACTATTTCATCCTTGACACCAGCAAAGCGATCAAAAATCACAGCTCTTTGACCTCCATCCACTAAAATATATAAATTTACGAAAAAAGCAACAAAACATATTGGATTGTTTGGGACATTGTAAGAACATACAAGGCTGGACACAATTAAGCGTACAAAGACTGTGGTAGTTTTCGAGAAACCCACAGCGCAATGTAAAGTCCCAAATAAGACAGATGTCCATTTGAGTCAAACGCATGCGCACTGCTCTAGAGAAGATTTCAGAGTGTTGTGTAGGATTTTCTTATGCCGAAGCCAGGTTGCCAGATCCTACACAACGATCAAAACGAAAATGCCCAGGTTCAAAGAATAAAACACATGGAAATTCAAGGGGGGGGGGGGATACCACGTGCTACAGAGAACTCTATACTTAAGATTCGCGCTCGTTACGCGATGACAAACTATCCGCCTCCGTCGGGGACTGAACCGTATTCTCTGTTTCATCAGCAGTGTCGCCGATTCGAGCAGCTTGGATTCGCGTGGCCATCTCGCTTGGGCTCTGCGCGCGATCAAAAGTTGCACTCTTAGCATTTTCCACGCCTGAGCATAGAAAAGGCTCAGAAGCGAATTTCATTGGCTGCTCAGGCATGGAAAAATTTTCAAAGGGCATGTCCGCGAACGCAGTGCAGAGTCCAAGCGAGGCGGCCGACCGGCCGACCGAGAGTCCCTCGTGTCGGCGACAGTGCCAGTGACATAGAGCATTGCCTACCCTCTGTGCGCAAACAGTTTAGATCATTGCCTATACTGTTTATTGCGCCTATCTAACACAAGGATGATTATCAAAGCAAATGCCACAAGGTGGAAAGCTTCAACATATTGCAGCACAGCACGAATCACACGAACCGTTATATTATGCCGCAATCTGATAAGCCTTGCAGATGACGCAGAGAGTTTTGCACTACGAAACAATTACCCTAATTTCACACATATAGGGTGCACTTTTTCGAATTTTCAAGCGAGCCGCTCAGCCGGTTCACTGCATCCCGGAAAGAAATCCCTACATCGCACGATTCTCTCATGCAATATACATCACGTTATAGGGTATTGGTTGTAAAGTCTCCTTTGGCGTGTCTGGGCTGGTCGATTTTGGAAAAAAATCCCCCGCGCTTTATACGCGTGTTAGGGTATATTAGAAGAACTTGTTAGATGAAGAACTGACCATTATAAAGTGCCGACTGCGCCACTCCACCAGCGATGGCGAGACCCACGCCGAGGGCTCCAATCCTACCCATAAGCTTTTGTGCTGCCGCCATGCCTGAATTAGAAATTTAAGAGATCCATAGTCGAGGAATAACATATCTCCAGCGAATGACACGAGAATAGTGAGATCTGATGCAAACGCAACGAGAACAAGATGGTGCAGATTTTAAAGGTAATTAGCTTGGCTTCTACGAACCATACAGTGATTTTAGAGGTGTTTTATCACTCGAGAAAAGCTCAGCTGACCAAATAAGAAGCGATTTGCTGATTTGTCAGTGAACTATGCGAATTGAAGAAACACAATTTTGTCCAGACTGACTCAAGACTACAAGTTTTTAAGGAACTGATGATGTTATTTTTACATAAACGAGGAAAACAACGCAACAACGCACCTCTCAATACTATAGAAATAAATGAGAAAGATATTTAATGGTAGCTAGAGGAAATCGAGCAGCGGTTTCAAGCGTTGTGAACAAATATCGGATTCTTCTGAACAAGATGATGCTATGAAAATCACTCTCAAGAGTTTATTTAATAAAAAGGTTCATAAAACAACATTTTCATCATTCCTTACAAAAAAAAACTTCCAAAACAGTCCTGAGGCGAACTCATATTAAAGGTCCCACAGTTCGATGGGGTGCCACGCAGCTCGTTTTGCATGCTGATCATTAGCCAGTATGCTATGCGGCCGCCACGAAGCCACAATTATCTCTGGGTCTCTCAGTCGGGTGGCGCAATCCCTTTGAACCAGCCTAAACATTTTGAAGGTTTTTCGAAGTCTTGTACCTCTTCTGAGTGGTTTTTCTTGATGAATGTGAAGGTTTTTGCTTGTCAGGGACTGCCTTCTGTCCATCTTGAGGCACATAAGTCATCTCGCAATCTACTGTCAGAAGCCCTGGATTTTGTGATGTTAAATAGTTTATTTTGGAATTTTGGGGAAGCTAACTTGACCAGAGTTTATTTTGTTAACTTTTCAGTGCGGTCGGTATTGCTTGAATACTGCTTGATCCAATGCTGTAGTTCCTAGTGGAATGTTCTTGTATTGTCATTGTTTTCGTTGACGATCCTGTTGTTCATTTGCGTTTCGAAAATTCATTAAGATTTTCAGGGTATGGCCCACGCCAAGAGAAAGACTCGAAAGCTTAGGGGTCATGTGTCACATGGACACGGACGTATCGGAAAGCACAGAAAGCACCCCGGTGGTCGTGGTAAGGCTGGTGGTCAACATCATCACAGAATCAACCGTGACAAGTTCCACCCTGGTCTTTTTGGAAAGGTCAGTTAGTGTACGTACTTTTTTTGTCAAAAGATATAGTTTCCACAGTCAATCTCTTTTCTCAGTTTCTGCTGGTTTAGGTCGGTATGCGAGTATTCCATCTGAACAAGAACCAATATTATTGCCCGACAGTGAACGTTGACCGATTGTGGTCGTTAGTACCTGAACCAATCAAGCAACAAGCCAGCCCTGACAAAGCTCCAGTCATTGACTGCGTAAAGGCTGGGTACTTCAAGGTAAGCTTGCATGAATGTTTCGGAGTTTACGTAGTTTACGTTTCCTTCCATCTTGGCGCTTCTACCTCTACAGGGTAACAGTGTATGTAGTGGAAGGTAAATCATGTCCCTTGGGATATTCGGGTCTCCTTCGGTGCTGTTCTAATATCTATCGAATAGCGTCATCCTCTGGATTCGAGACAGTTGAAAAGTGCCAAGCATTTTTTTTCTAAAGTAAACCTACTGCAAGTGTTATGTTGTTGCTCACTACGCTAATACTCATTCAAAAATTTCAAGCTAAATTATTATACGTTTATGTCATTGCATGGAGAACAGGTAGACGCTTTGTTTCTCTAGCCTTTTAGTGAGTATAAAATTTTCTTACTACGTAAGATAATCTTAAATAATATAAGTTATATAGTTGCGAACTAGAACTTGCCACGTTTTTCATTGTCGCTCATAGTGCATATGTTTCGATTTCTCGCACACTAAATAAGAAAACACGAGATTCTTAGGCTTGCTAGTACAAAGCGTTCATTTTCAGTCAGCTTAAAATCTGCGTTTATCCGACTAGTCTTCACGTTGAATAGATTGGATAATCTTTTAAGAAGCATAGTTTGATTAATTCAGTTTGCTGTTTGTATCGTGAAATACAAGTTTCTCGTTTATTTACATTGTGGAAATTTTTAGGGTTGTCCAGTCTCTTGTAAGCATTGTTTGACTTATAATTTTTCATAACAAATAATTTTCAGGTTCTCGGAAAAGGACTTCTTCCAAAACAACCCCTCATCGTCAAGGCTAAATATTTCTCCCACGAAGCCGAAAATAAAATCAAGGAAGCGGGAGGAGCCTGTATTTTGGTTGCATAAGCTGCCGTTGTTGATTTTGTACCTTTTTGAACAAAGTCATATAAACTATGTTGTTTTTTGGTGATCGTGGAATTCCTGGTATCTTGCCCATGTTATATCTTTTCTAAAGAGAGCTTGTAATATTGCTATTGTATACCGTATTCTATGGATTTTCATATACTTTTAGCCTTCTGAGCGCTTGTCCTCTGTGGAGCTAAGGCAATTTGCAACTTGCACTCGAGATGGCTTTGAACCAAGAAATGGCTTGCGTTTATGCCGCGCTCATCCTTCAAGATGATGAAGTCGCTATCACTGGAGATAAGATCGCCACACTCCTCAAAGCCGCTCACGTCGAATTTGAACCTTTCTGGCCAGGACTGTTCGCCAAGGCTGTTGAAGGAGTCGACATCAAGGTTTGTTTGCAGATTTCATTGTTATTTTACCTTCTTTCTTGGCGCTCCTATCGTATCCAGGTAGAAGTGTATGTAAAAGAAGGGAGATAAAGCCCATCAGGGTATTCGGATCTCCTTCGGTGCTGTTCTAATATCTATCGAATAGCGTCATCCTCTGGGTTCGAGACAGTCATTCTTTAACGTAGCATAGTGAATTTGATGGTCAATATGGTTCTTCGGTTACGTTGCAGGTGCGCAAGACGAAAAAAAAAATCTGGGTTAGTCCTCTATCTCTGTGACAGTGTCATAGGTCGGTCCATGCGATTTGGGTCCCGCGCGGCCGTCTTGTTTAGACTCTGCGTCGCGTCTGCTGATGTACCCTCTGGGCATTTTCGCCTTCAGTCGCCACTCAGGCTTGGAAAGTGCCCAGGATATACATCGCAGACGCGGCGCAGGGTCAGCGAGGCGGTCGTGCGGGTCTGAACCGCATGGGGCGGGCACACTCTCATTGAGACAAAGGGTATGTCCAATTTTTACACGCAAATGCTCTCGACATTGGAATCGTCGACGTTTGACACAAGTGTTGTCGCCACTAGGACTATATTGATCGTCAAATTTACTGTGTCATATATGCTCTATATCAGTATTAAAGTTATCTTTCATGCTTTCAGAATCTGATCACCTCCGTTTCTTCTGGAGCTGGATCAGCCCCCGCTGCCCCAGCAGCCGGTGGTGCAGCAGCCCCTGCTGGTGGCGCTGCTCCTGCTGCCCCTGCCGCAGAGACCAAGAAGAAGGAGGAGCCCAAGGAAGAGTCCGATGACGATATGGGATTCGGTCTGTTCGACTGAACAACTTTCAATTGTTGTCTGTTGTTGATAAAGTTGTTATCACTTCATTTATTGGCAAACAAGTATAACCCGCATAAGGATTTTGACTGAATTTTTGAAATCACAAATCTAGTGGTTGTAGTTGAATCACATCGGGTTTCTTCCTTTGTAATCCGCTTTGTATTCGACGCATGCGATTGAGGTGTTTTTCTCGACCTGCAAGTGGATAGTTAATAAAAGAGTAGTCATGAGAAGTCTTCATAGATTACCAGAAGAGTTCCCAGTAGTGTTCAATTCGTTTGAACGCTCAATGGTAAATATATTTTGATCTTTTGGAGCTGATCGCGGTGTCGAACCGTCTAAATGGACCTACATCGGTGGGTAAATACATAAAGGTTATTGATAAGCTTCTCACCATCTACTGGAACCACTCTGTTTCGAGCTGGCTTGGGAGGTGGAACCGGTAATGGTCTTGTGAGTACCGCATCGCCGCTCATGGGAGAGTCGTGGGACGTCGCTGGACGTGGTGAGGTTTCGGTCTGAAACAGGACATTGTTGGATCTTATAGCTACGCGCTACATTTACTTCAATTGATGCGCTTGGTCCACTTCGTCCACTCTGCCATTGGTCAAATCAGTGAAAACCGACCAATAGCGAAGCGGATAGCTACTTATTTCACTTCGCTATCAGTCAGTTCATTTAACTAGTAGCGAAGTGGCTGGAGCGCATCATTTGAACCCGCGCCATAATTGCTTCGCGTTTTCCACTTAATTCACTTCGCCATTGGTTAAATCAGTGACTGACCAATAGCGAAGTGAAGGGCATCGAGCATGGCGCGTGCCTAAGACTGATTTATACTGATCCGGAAGTTCCGGAACAGTTCCAGTACTGCGCATAATTCGAGCGCTGAGCTAGAACTGTTCCGACACCTATGAATCAGTATGAACTCCACCTATGGCACGCGCCATACTTGCCGCTTAATCCATTTGATCCACTTGATCCGCGTCGTCATTGGTCAGCTCAGTGAACTGACCAATAGCGAAGCGGTTGTCCACTTGATCCTTGATCTCCACTTCACTACTGGTCAGTTCACTGAATTGACCAATAATGAAGCGGATCAAGCGGATCGCGTATGGCGCATGCCTAAGAGTGGGACTTGCGTGCGCCAAAGCTTTCCCCGTCTGAAGAGGCGGAAGAACTCACTGGCGATTGTGTATCAGTGGCAGATGGTTGAGCTGAGCCTGGTGACGCAGGCTTAGAATCTGGCTGAGCGTGATTTGACGCTCTATCTGAGTGCGCGGATACACGCTCCCCTTCGACAGGCGTAGAAGGTTGTTCATGCTGGACATCTCCGTTACCAGAGGCAGGTGGGTATCTGCAAAAATGCATTTGCGTGGAACAAAAGCAGCAAGTTGTGAGGCTTACTGTTGTAGACCAGCAATTTCACTGTTTCTCTTCTCATGTTCTTGCTGCATCAGTCGTAATCGTCGTTCATCGCGCTCTGCTTGTTGACGAATTTTTAGGGCTAACTCGGCAGCATGAACCCCTTCGGAAAGAAAGACATAGTGCTCGATAATCTGTAAGATAAATTGAATAAAAACCTTGGGAATAGCTTGGTTGGGTACTATAATGGTTGACCACTTCGTGCGTATGTAGGCAAGTAGGTAAAAAAGTTTTCTTGCTGTGCTGACTTTTGCCGACAACATTTGCGCGTGAATAAATTGTAGTGCTCGTAATGTCTATAATTTGCGCGTGCAAAATGGCCACAAAGTGCACATGAGCTTTCCCAGTGGCAGTTCGCCCACGCGTAACATTTGATTCAACTGGCTTGGCGGCTGGCGGGTCTTCGTGACCCAATTACCCTAAAATCCGTCATATAAGATCGGCTCGCAGTAAAGACCGCCTCGCCGATAAGACCGCAAAAGTGCTCTCAGTTAAGTCCGCTTTCGTGACAGCCTCGCGCGCCTCGCGCGCCGCCAAGTCCCGCGGATAAGTCCGTCTTATTTTTTTCACATGAAAACAAGAAGGATGCGCAATTGCGCTGCCTTTTTTGCTCTCAGAATGAACCGAAGCAACAGATCTTTATTCAGGTAGCATTCCATGTTCATAACAAACATTCATGGCAACAACTTGACCAAAAGAACGACCATCATTATCGTTATTATCAGCAACAATCAAAGCGTCGAAATCCTCGTTCATGCCTTCTATTATTGATTCGTCATCGAGAGCCTTGGTGAAACTGTTCGCAATGGTTTCTTCGCCTCAGAGATAAGTTCTTTCTCTTCATAAAGCCTTTGCACCACATCGCCGATGCCCTGAAGTCCTGGTGGCCAGATTCCCGCGCTAGCTGCAATGCCTTCTCGCGAATGTCTTTGACAAGCACTGCTCGGCTTCCTTCTCGCGTCTGCACAATCCATGCATAGAGAGCTTCCTCTATTTCCTCCACCTTTGGCTTCCCATGACGGTTGGCGCGTCTCCTCAGTGGCATATCCTCCAGATTTTCTTTATCGGCCTTCCATCTTCTAACCAGACCATCAGAGACTTCGTAGCGAACAGCGGCAGCCGATGTTCCATGTTCCAAGGCATATTGCACCACGTTAAGCTTAAAAAGCGCGGTGTAGGACTTCCTTCTGATAGCCATTGAGATGCGAGACACCTGAAAAGCTTAAGTCAAAGCATGTGAGACTATGCTGGAAATATAGGGCCCCGCGTGATTGTGAACTTCGCTGAGTTACCGGTCATTGCACACTGGAATCACGCGGAGTCCTATAAATTTGCGCTGGTCATCGAAAGGTTTACTCTTTTATACAAGGAAAAGCAGGCGGCATCAAATTTGACTACACTATCTTTTGTCTTGGATGTACAGGCTTAATGAAACAACAATTGAGGAAAATAACAAGGAAGCCTAATGCTTTGCTAAGGTTGAGCATTCTCAGACTGTCACTCTTCCGTTCAAGAAAGCATTTGACAAAAGCCGTATGGCATGGGTCAACAGAGACTACATTCAGAACATGAAAACAATAGAGGAAGCAAAAGTGTAGGAGTCAGGTTCAAGGGTTGTAGCCTGTACGGGTTCGAGAGATGTAGTGAAAACATTGTCGCCTCCAAAACGATAAGATGAATGATAAGTTGAGATGATTGCAATGATGCAATGATGAAACCTATTATGATTCTTTTCATCGACAGAAATCGCTCAATTTCATACAGGTGTCATATATAGGAAAAGAACTCACCTATCCAGCGTACGCGATGAAGAATCCGCGACGACCACCAAGTAGACTGTACGACTTGTCGAATCCTTGGGCTCTTTCTTTCAGGCGATATCGCGGCCTCGTTTAAATCTACACTGGCAAGCCACGCGAGCGGTCGCGCGCGTCTGTGCTCCTAGGTCGCGCTTGCTCATGCTCAGGACAGACGGACGTATCTGCGAGACGATTTAGGCGGACTTATCTGTGACACCCTTTGCGGCGTTTTTCCATCGATTTTCCTGCCAAAACTGCAGATAAGTCCGCTCTTATATGACGGATTTTAGGGTATATGGTTAGAAAGGCAGCTCGCGCCCGCGACGCAGTCTGCGTCTCTCTCTCGCGCGTGCTGTCTCTCTTCTTTAGCCCTAACTAAGTCGCGAAGCCCCGCCTTCCAACTGCCAAGCCAGTTGAATCAGAGGATAGATGTTGTCGGCAAATGTTGCCGTCGCAGGAGAAAAAAGGGGTCTTTAAAATTACTGTTGCGACTAACCTTATCAACAAATGTGCAAAACTGTGCTAATAATGGATTTGATGCACGATGTGGACGCTTTGATACCAGAGGTGGTGGACGTTTGATATTGTTGAGCTGAAACATCAAACTGTGCAGAGAAAGCTGGAAATTGTGGTGAGCGGTAGGATACCGCAAACAGAACGTTTTTTTTTTCAAAATCAAAAACTAACCTCTCCTCTGTAGATATTCACATGTGTAACGAATATTACTTGATTCTGTTGCGAACCTATAGCATTTAGGTCTGCCTAAATTTAATGATAATCGCTGATTTTTTATTATAAAGCAAATTGCAAAATCTTACATTCATTGAAAAATCGAAGTCATCAAGTTCTGTTGGCTTTTTCTTGTTAAGCACCACTAATAAAGGTTTTTTGGCTGTGTCTTTGTGTAGTTGGACCTGTGTAAAAAATACTATAAATATAATAGAATAACAGTATTTGAAAGTGCTTGCTATGTAGTAAACATATCCTTCATGCATCAACTACCAAAAAAAGATTCTAATACATAAAGGTAACGCCAATTCAAAAAACATCAGATAGCGGGAAACCGCGGCGGGTCTCGAAGCGAACGCCCAGGCAAAAAGCACCTTTAGATTACTGGTTTACAAGTCACAGAAAAGAGGGACTATTACAGGGATCGTTTTTGAAAAGAAGGGATATTTTGATGCACCGCACTTATTCTGCCTGTACTGTAGGTATACGGTAGGAAAACACTCGACTGCAGTAATGAGCCTGTCTATGCGCGTGTGCCTACCGTACATTCCCAGGTTACGGTAGCAATAGCAACTAATAAGCGTTTCTTTCCAACTCAAAAATTTATTTTGAAGATTGAAAACAGTAAAACAAGGATTTTTTTCGCTGCATTAATGTAAAATTAGCCTATTTTTCCAACTGGAAAAGTTACCTACCTTATGTATCATTTCATAATTTTCGTCGAGGCGTTCTTCGTCGGAAATGTCGACCACGTACATGATACCGTGTACCTTAAGTTCGTAAGATATGGTCCCTCGAACAATAAATCATGAAGGACGATTAAAAAAACCTCGGCGAAATAATTCGGCCAGATATCCCGTATTCGTTCGTGTCCGCCAAGATCGTAGACTTTGATAGTGAAGTCGTTGTCAAAATCCATGTCGATCATTGAGAAACCATTGGTCGGTAGAACATTTCGCGGATCTTCTGCAAGAAATGAACTTTGCTCATTTCGAGGAAAATTTATTGAAATTCGAATGAATATGGGAAATAAGCGCACCGCCTTTGATCATCTTCAATATAGTAGTCTTTCCTGCACCGTCGACACCAAAGCAACCGATTTTGATTTCTCTAAAACAACCTAAATTAATTTGATATTCGAAACTTTTTCTGAATATGCTTCATTTGAATCATTAAAGCTTCTACTATTGCCTTAAGTCTCAGATTGCTTCCGATCTTCTTAAACATCTCTTATTTTAAGAAAGGTCAAATCTGGAGTTTGCAACTCAGTGGACCCGAATCTTCTTCAGATTTTTTTGGCAAGAAAACTCGGCTCTTTGAAATTTTTGATTTATGGTTGCAGTAAACAATTCAAATTTGAAGACTCTAGGTAAATCTTATAGGGGTGGACGGTTCTTCGAATTTTAAAATGCGTTATTGGCTCTGCTGAGCCTGACTTTGCTTTATTTTTGATTTTTTTTAGAGAAACGAGAAGGAACTTTGCCAAAAGCAGTGGAAGTTAGTTTGAAGTATGAAAACATAAATTTGCAAAAAGAGCTTCATGCGGCCTTTGAAGTGACAAACACTAAATACAACGTAAAATTTCCTTTTTTTTGTCAGTTCTAGTTCAAAGAACGACAAAATGTACTTTGCTCATATTTGGCATTCATGCGGGCGGTTTCACAACAGGAAGCATATGGCTCTTGAACAATCAAGTCGGTTTTAGCTGTTACTCATTTTTTATTTGGAAAAGCTGCGTAATGAAGTCAATTTTTCACGGTTTGCAAAACTGAGAGTAAATTCTGCCTAATTTGAGAAGCTTGGGTCAAATGTGAGTCGAACTGCTTTTTCACAATTGCAATGTAACTTACTTACAAAAGATAGATCTTGATTGGTTTGAAAAAAAGGAGAAGGAAATATTATTCAGAACTCACCGTTTTTCCTTTGTCGGTTTTGGCGTGCAACAGCACAATCCCATTTAACATTGAGACGGCTGTATTGTTCTGTAATCATGAATTAGTGTGTGCTTAATCATTGCTAATCATTACCATATCAACGCGCTAAATGATTTCAAAGCGTTTATTGACGTGAAAGCATATAAAAACACGATTATGATATAATGAGTGCACCAATGACATGAAACAAAGGGAAATAATTAGAGAAAAAAAAACAAAAAAAGTACCCTAACTTCACGAGTACAAGACGCACCTTTTTTGAATTTTTAAGCGAGCCGTTCAACCGCCTCGCTGTGTTTTGGAAAACTATAGGGTCCATTGGTCGCGGAGTCCTTTAATGTGTTTGAACTGGTAAGTTATTGAAAAAAAACTTCCTGCGTCTTGTACTCGTGAAATTAAGGTAAATAATCTTTCCAGATTACTAGAAACTATAGCAAAATTACCCCCGAAGTGCGAGATGACGGCCCCTTCTATATTCAAGGCTTTTTCGATTGCATCGCTGTTCACAGCAAATGGGAAAATGGCAGGGCAAGTGGAGGAAATTGCTTGGATTTGCACGCTATAAAAATGCTCTAATGATGCTTACATATGCAAAAGAAAATTGTAGAAGTGAGTTTGTGAAGAACTGGCTTGTAGCCCTGACTCGTTACTATCCGAATTATTTTAGACTTTTTGAGACATAGGTTAAGGTACGGGCAAAGAAGGAACTCAAATCTACTGAAGATAACTTTTTCTATCTTTACTGGCTCATTCGTTAGTTGAGTGGCAACGAAGAGCAGTTGAAGACGAAATATTTGAGCCAAGAAGATATCACTACTAAGTGCTTGAATTTTCTTGTAACAATCTGCTTGGAAAAACATCGAAATCAACGAAAAGATCGCCCTAAATGTTACCGCATGCAAAGTACTAAATTTTCTTTTATGATTCTAGATCTACTCCTAAGTATGCATCTGCGCAAAGCTGCTTGTACAAATACTAAGAGTATCCGTGATTTCTTGTTTCCGCACAATGAACATGGAAAAAAAACTTCAAACAAACAGCGCCCAGTAGCGTAAATTCTAAGCAAGTGTTACATACAGATATGAATGAAGAAACAGTGAAAAAAAGCTGTTCTTTTTTTTCTGTAGTAATTTCATGAAATTTTTTTAAATGCTTCAATAGTGAAGATGCGATTGCAAATACGTCATTTTATCTCAAAAATCTATATAGTAACAAAAAGCTGTAAAGACAAACGATTAACGAGAAACTTTTTATACATATATGTGTATTTCTGTTTTGCCAATTTTTGTTTATATTCAAATCATATTTGTAAAAGAATGTACATTAAATGTGGTATAGCGAACAAGAACAAGCAGCAAGAAGCAGACAGACTTTCCATTGCAATGCATCAGTAATATCTGTGCCCCTCAAAGTGCAAGGAAAAATGAAAATCGCTTAGGAACACTGTGAGAATGAGAGAGCGTTAAGCTTTTGTACTTTACACAAGCTAAGGAAACCATTTAGTGCTGCTCATATTATAGTAGGTTTCAAGGACATTAATAGAAAAAAAGCTTCGATTACAACTGTGAGTGTTTCACGGTAGCTATGGTTGCCACGTTACGCCTTTTGAAGGCACATGGTATTTTTTATGAAGTGAGGAAATTTACAGAACTTCGAGTGGGATGGGTAATGTAGAGTTAGCCATTACGCGAACGGTAATTACCGGACAGAAGAGGCGATTATCATGAGATAATAGGAGATTGTCTACGGTGTTGTGCATTTGGATAAAATCGGCAATTACCTGCACTTTGTTGAAATCTGCTATCGATTGCAATTTCCGGGATTAGCGATGAATGCAGAGTTGTATAGGCCTCATTAGCGATGTGTATGAGAGGTGAATAGGAGAATTTAGCGAGAGAAAGAGAGAGAGACGCAGAAATCAGCAATATATCAAATTTCCAAAGCGGGAAATAGAAGGGGAATTCGATTACAAAGCCTTAAATTTCCTTTACCCCCCCCCCCTTCTCCCCATTTTAAGCGTCCATATGTTCGCCTATTTCGATATTGACAGAATGAGGAGGAGATTACCATCCCTTGGGGTAACGACAGTAATTAACCCGACACCTGCGCTCTGTTTCGCTTTGATATAGGCCTTTAAATAGCGATTCTGATATAATGTTCAGATTTCTCTCTTATTTGAATCTGAATAGTGGTTAAATCGAAAACTTCCCCCCCCCCACCCGCCCGTCCAAAAAGAAAGTGAATAATGGAGCAGTGATTCATAAATCTATGTGATTAGGAAGAAAAATGAACAAGTGATGTCTTTTTTGAATATGATGAGTCACCTGCAATCCACAAAGAAACAAAGATTCCAGCAATTGTAGTAGTATAAACTACCATAATCTTGAAGTTATTTCTTTGATCTTACCTTATTTTATGACTATACTCAAAAATCTTACAAACTATCTTGAATATATAAAGAATCGTAATGCCATTTCAATAAACATTAGATAGCGTGAACCGCAATGCGGGTCCTGAAGCGCGCGGATGCAGATCTAGCATCTTTAGATCACTGGTTCACTGGCATATTGAAAAAAAATTATGGGAATCGAAAAAAACTCGCACAACACGTGACATCATCTTCAGCCCCAAAGAGATAAAAAAATGCGAATAAAGAGAGAAAGCGTAGGACCCGTAATAAAGTGAACATAAAAGTTGAAAAAGCAAAAAGACATTAGTAAGCTGTAATTGTGAGGAATATGCTGTAATTGTAAGGAAATGGCATACATTCCAAGCTTTTCGTATAATAATCGATGATTTTTTGAGGCAGAGTGATCGTACAGAATTCGAAATACGTGTAGGCAAACATTAGTCATCAGTCATTCCATTTCATTCATATTGTTCAGTATCCACGTTTTTCGAGGTGTTTATGAGTCATTAATTATATGCTGAAAAAAAGGATAGCAGCCAAATTTCGGAAATGATAAAAAATGTGAGAAGCAGCTTTATTTGACAGATGGTAATTGAAAGATAAAGGATTTATCTGAGTTCAAACTGTAGCCAAGAAAGCTTTCAAGCAACACTGCTGTATATGTATATAACTCAGTTTATCTTCACTCAAATAATATATAAATTTGAAAAACGTGACAGGAAACCCTATATATAAATCGCCACCTCGCTTAAGTTGTTTGGCGCTATGCCCAAAGCAGCGTAATCTGTTTCACAGGCTCGGCTGGGTTACCTAGCAACGCGTTTAGCCATCGGCTCTTTACTCAACACAGATCGAAGAAGTTGATCAATATCTTTAAATTGTTTGAATCTCAACCTTAAATTGTCCATCGGGAAGTTTCTATAGATTGCCATGTTGCGGTCCTGCGACATTTGAATGATTGCACATTGACCGCATGTTTATTTTCGTCACAATTCTTAATACAATGACATGCAATTACCCCATTGACAACGATGTGGACCACCGTTGGCCCACCCACGTTTTATTGCCAAGGACGATGTGGACCGCCGATGGCCCACAGTTCTTGCAAAGTCATATCATTTGTAGGCCTAGTATTTTTTCCACACATTTATGTTTTTTCCAATTTTTTGCACTCTTGGGACTCTGATGACCTATAGGCTCCGTCGTTCAAAAAAATGTTCGTAGTTATTTACAAAACAATCCGGCATTTCGTAAATAACCACAAAAGGGTAGGGGAACGAACTCCGCCAGTTTGAACCGCCTCCGCGGACTGCTGGTCCTGCAACGACATGCAACATTTAGCAAAAGAACCAGCTGCCAGCGAAGGCGGGCTCAAATTGGCGGAGTTCGTTCCCCTACCCACCACAAAACTTTCCTATACCGAAAGTGTTGTGCAAAATCGCGTCGTCTCACAGCACCGTCACGCAAAATTAGGCGTCGTCGTCAATGGGTCAAGCAACAAGCAAACGTGAACTTCCAATAAAAAACTTGAAAAGTGCTTTCTCTGAAATTATGGCGCATAAGATAAGTGGTGGGAATCTCAGTACTGCTAAGCCTTTACAAAAGAGTCATTTGAGTTGATTATAGAAGGCGACAAACACCTTGCAGTGGCGCCACAAAAGAGGTACTGACAATGAGACCAATAGGCTCAGTTAAGCCAGAATGAATTTATTGTACTAATCTACAAAAAATAGACTTCATGATTCGAAACGGCTTCTATTTGCAAACGTGAGAATTAAAAGAGACGAATGCCTTAATTTTACGAGTGCAAGACGCACTCGTTTTTTTTCTAAAGTCGATCAGCCTGAACGTTACCGTATTGTTCCTTATCCGAAAGAGCTGTGTGGGAGAGAGACCACCCAGACAATCCAACTGACTTCCGGGAAAAACTGAACTTCCAAAACTTTCGAGAGGACACTCCTATTGGAGCTGCCAATTAGGGCGGAGCCTGGACCTACCCATACGACCCAATAGGAGCGTCCGCCCGGAAGTTTTAGAACTTCAGTTTACCCCGGAAGTCATTACGATTGTCTGAGCTGTTCGCGATTCACAATAGTGCGACCAGGCTGCTTGTTTGAAAAATTGAAAGAAGGCGTCTTGTACTAGTGAAATTAGGGTAATGATTCTGAGAAGAGCATAAATATTAGGGTGAACGGTAAAAAGGGACAGCTTAATTTTCATTACATTTTGGAATTTTTGATTTTCGAGCAACAGCAAGTAGGCAGCAACTTAAATATCGCTTACATGGGCGATCGCCTATTATTCTGACAACGCGTTAACGCTCCTCTTCCACTACCCTGCGCGTGGCGCCGTGAAGAACTCGAACAGGGTTTTTTGGAATTCTCAATCTTGTGCTGTTATAAGTAAAGTAGTAAAGCAAATGACCTACCATTCGAAAGAGCTTTTCATGCTTTTTCGAACGATTTGTTGCATGAGATTTCTCTTCAATTTCAGAAAAAAATCGAAAAAACCTGAAAAACAGCTATTTTTGGCGCAATAAAAAAACCAAAAAATCATCTTTTGCCCTATATTTTCCGAAGATAGATAAAATCTGAGGTAAGCTGCATATGGATGGATAGAGCGTAAAAAGCTCTATCAGT